AAAAAACCGCTCCTCATGCCAGCCAGGTGTTCCGTGATACGAATGGCTCGAATCTTTCCTGTTTTCTCAGAATTCATTGAGGTCAAGCCCTACACCCGATTTTATAAATTACTAAATCAATTACTCAAGGCATAATTCTCTAAAACTTTCTGTCGGGACCAATAACACTACCATCTGCATAAACCTAGAAACTTGTTGTCAATCTATGTTTTCAATAGTGATGTTCACTAACTGAAAATCATTATTGAGCTGTGCTGTTCCAATGTTCCATTAAATGACGCTAGTCCCCTCGCCAGCTATAAAAGTGAAACATAAGGGCAAGCAAATTTGACGCGTAGCACCTCTCTTGGGACAATATGAAGTCAATTGTGGACTTTGCATCAAATAGTCGTTCTAAGTAGCTATTTTGTATTCTTTCCTATCGCCGTTTGAGCATGTAGCGGCCGAATGCGTTATTATTTATCGTATCACTGCATCTCTATAAATTCAGTACAAATGCAACAGTTATAGATTGTTCAGTAAATTCACTTTGCATGTCTATAACTGCATCCACTTCTCCACCCTCACTTATGCTGTTTTTCGAAATATCCTTCAAAACGAACTTCACACACCTTTAATCCTGGATAGGTACATGCTGCAGATGTTGATATCCCAACGTTTCGTTTCGTTGAACATTCTCAGCATTACAGTTACAGCTGATTCATCAGCGAATAGGCCATCCTTGAGCATAGCACATAGACCTCCATGCTTTAGAGCCGCCGTCAATTGATGCACTCCTGAAAAAATCTCAAATAAAAAAATGCAAAATAAACAAAAATTAACACGAGAAAATGAAAATGCATAAGGGTAGATGAAGAGCCACATGGGAAGACTTCTCTTCCACAATTATTCGATAAAAATCACGTAAAAAACAGCAAAAGACATATATTATATAAAAGCCCTTTCCGTGTTCACGAAAATATGCCAAATCACGAAAACATGGCAACATCTCTGGTATACATATGGTCGAACTCATTGACAGCGAAATAAAGAGAATTCGTGGCCTATTATTGAGCCGCCAACCTCGATGCAGTTGTAGCTGTCCGAACTTCGCTCTCCTTATACGTATTGACTCAGATCGGTCCTTATCTTTACACTTATCACTTTCTATTATGCAGATTTGTCAACCTATTCTACTATTCATCTAATCCTACGAAGCACACCAAAGTATCAAATCTACATCGCAAATGCCGAGGGGGTTAGAAACTTACAAGCCTCTACGTTCTAATTTAAGGGGACAGGAGCTGCGAGTTTCCGGTCAAACCCAACCATTTACACACTTGGACAGTCAATGAATAACACACATGCCGACACGCAAACACATCAACGAACTTTTAACGGTATCGATTCGGGATATGTTTCCTGAATGATATGCGTGATTAACGGCATCACACGGCACATATTCAGCTCTACCTTACGCCCCAACCGCAATTGAAGAATTGCGACTTCTACCCCGTCCGAAAACCACGGACACATTCTTGATCACCACACATTCAGAGCCCAGAAACTCATTTCTAGGTTTTCACTACGTCAAAAAATGCATTCAAGGAGAAAAGAAGTAAGTTCGTTTGTTTGCTGGAAAGAAATTGTGCCCATTCCATTGGGTGCCTCATAAGTTGAGACTTTTTTTGAGGAAACTTATAAAAACTTTAAATTGAAAAGAAGTAGAAATTCTCCTAGGGCAAACTAAGGCATGAAAATAACAGCTGACGCGGAAAAGTAAGAAAACAAGTCAAAAATGGTGAAAACTGCAATTCCACTCACCAATAGACGTTTTTTCTGCTTGCATGATTGCCATATAATGCCCTTTCTCCACTTTGGCGGCAAAATCGTCCAGGGAAAACCCTTGAGTCGAGTTCTGAAGTAAAGCGTGCAGTTGATTGCTCTCTCAATTGAAATTAGTCAAAACCCACTTTTCGCGATTGTGGATTGGTATCATCAGTGCTTGCATAAGCATTGACACGTCCATCCCGCTGAAGCGACCGATTGGGCTCTCGGGGAGGTTTCGTGGACGTTGTCGGTGCCAATGGACGCATCATCTTCTCTACGGAACGTGGAGCCACCACGAACGTAGTTTCTCTTGTTGAGGCGCCATTCAACGGTGAAACACTACGACAAATCAGTCGAGACCCATCTCTCAGCCTGAATACACACAATTCCACAGGTCGGCCCCTTGGAAATCAGTGAAACTTCAAAACTTTTTAAGTAAATCACACCTTCATACACAATCAAGAACTGAGTGTTACACTACACCGAGAGGCGATAGGCGACATGCGTCGGGTCGTTCGACTTATTACCTGATCGGTAACCCGTACGGATCACACAAGGATTTAAGAAACAAGGCATTCAATGTAAACGCTGTAATCACCTTACATACAAGAACTCAGCAGAATAAGTATGTTGAAACGCCTCAAAAGCTCAGAATCCAAACATGAGCCACACGGTCCTTCGATCACGTGATAAACCGTTCAAAGGTCATGTCCGCTGGCTGCCGCTCATCAGTCAACGCGGAGTATGAACGCAAAGGAACAATTTTATATACATCAATAGTTTTGAATAGAAAGCATGAGCAAATAGAACTAAAACAGTGGATTTTGGCCCATGTGCTTTGGCTGCGTAAAACTAATTATTTCCAAGTAACGGGGTGGATTATAAATAATCTCGACCCCTTGCCCATTTCGTGACAAATTAAACTTCACAACCTAAAAATCTAATCAACAAACTGCAGCTCATTCCCTTCGATGACCTCCAGTGCTTTTACCCTTGCGCTCCTAGAACCAGGAAAAGATTTTCAGCCAAACAGTTTATCCACATCGGTCCACACTCTATTCACTAGGCGCTTTTCCCTCTCAAGAACCTTGAAAACCGTTCTTGGCTGTCTTTCTCATTATCACAGGCTGCTATAAACCAATTTTGTCTTACAAGCTTTTCAAATGCTCATTCATCGCACCTTCGCCAACTTTTCGTAGGTGCTTTTGCTGGCCATTGCAAAAACCATTTCTAGCCACCTTTCGCAGCTTTATCCACTTCCTGCTGGTATGTAGTTTCCCTCAAGCGACCCTCGCCGTCCACCAGCTTCTTCGAGCTTTCAAGAGCAATGTACCAGCCATTGTTTGATGAAGATCAACAATTTGATGGAACTTTCAGCAAACTTTTCGAGTGTTGTAAATGTCCCCGCTCTTTTTTCGCGAATTGGTTTTTATTACGGCGACAGCTTACACGACTTCGGCCGATACGACCTTACTTTTAGAGGACTTCCCTGATTCTTTTCCGGGAACCACCATATTTTAACATCAATTTTCATTACTCCGCCTAGGGTCCACCGTTGTTTGTTTCTGGCACAAGAGTAGAAGTGAATTCGGGGGTTGCATATGGAAACAACGACTTGCGAGTGGCTACGCTTGTTTCAGGTAGAATTGTACGTTGCAATCTTACTGCACGCGTGTTCAACACCGCCGTTTCATGGGGTTCTTCCTCAACTTAGACACGATCGTTAACTGAGAAACCACAGGTATGAGAGTTTGGACGCGCGGCGGGTGCTTACAATACCAGCTGCGTGTAAGAGGGCGGCATGTGAGGGTAAGGACTTCCCAATGGATGATGACGTTGATTCTGCGATTTGTCACATGCATGCCTGGTACCATGGAATTCGGGTACAAAGTCCGCTACCCAGGGTCGCTAAAGTAAAAAGTGAATGGCTCTCACTAGAGTCGAATAGTGGCAGATAACACGCTGTCGCTGATTATTCAATCGACTGTAGGAAATTAGGCTCCACCATCAGCACTCTAAAATATATCAACGAGAAAAATCGACATTTGAGAATTCGCGCACGTTGAAATCATTCTCTTTTGTCCGCCCTCAAAAAGGGTGATGTTAAAAAGATTTCTCGAAAATATGTAATTATGGTGTGATTGAAAACACGCGTTTTTCACAGAAAGAAAATTTTAATCTAAATTGTGACTGTTTGAAGAATAGTAAACACTACCATGCTTGCGGATTATCCCATTTTTGATGATCATTGCAACCATCAGAGGAATTCCCTTCTTAATGTTTTTTTTCTTGTCAGAGAACTTTACTACGGAAAGAAAGGATAAGTTGCAAAAATACCACCCTTTCAAAGAAAAGAATCGCAATTTCAGGGCTCACTTTGCGAGACGCCGGATCAGATGACATCTACTAATGGATTGCTACCGAGGAGCTAATCGCAAGATTTTACAAAGTAAAAGCTTTAAGAAAACAGAAAGACAGGAATGCCTCACTTTGAAGAGTGCGAATCATTGCTGCTATGAATAGCAGACATTGAAGGGCTGCGAGGGCGACCGATTATACTTCTATCTGCCTCTGTTCGCCTGAAAAGTAAGATGGATAGAAATTAATATTCATCATAGTCAGGGCGTGGCATGGTATGAACAAAGCACTACTGAAATTTCACTTACTGTGCTACTAATCTCCTCTTAATTGTCAAGATGATGAAGGCTACGCATAAAAACTTGAAATCGAAATAAACTTTCAACAGAAATTGGGCTGTTTGAAGCAAAAACACCTCTTCTCAGGTGATCCAGGAGTAATTTAAGAAAAGAGCGAGTCTCCATGGTAACGCAGGAAAGGCGTTGACGTGAGTATGAAAGGACTTCGCGCTCAACCAATTACTAGTGTCGCTTTCACAACATGAAACCCTACCGGGTATCCCATGAAAGAAAGAGATTTGCAACTGAGGCCTGACGCCCTCATAAATGAAGAAAGAATAGGAAATCTTGTGAATTCGTTTCAATGTTACACGGCTAATGAATCGATTTTAAAAACGCTCACCTTTTAAGAGGGTTCCGCGACGGCGTTCTGTGACTTGTGCCTCTATCGGATGAGGATGAACGGACTGGGAGACTGACTCGATTGCTTCCACTGCTCAGGGAGTTGTCTATTCCCTGTAAAGTGAGAAAAATTAAAGGAATAAGGAATACAGGAAAGCAATTATTATGGGCAAGCAGCGTGCAAAAAGTACGCTGCTTGCCCATAATAACTGGGAACGTTTCAACTCACACAGTCTGAGGACGACAAGTGAATTGCTGAAGGCACAGAAATAGTTTCTCGCGGCAAGGGGATAGACGGCGATTCGCCACGTAATGTTAGAATAGCTACTTCATCTGACAACGAAACATCATCATCCTCGCCATAATCGGAAAAATCCACAGATTCCCTTGGTCCTTGAACAAGATCCTGCAAAGACAGTAACTCAGCACACCAACTCAGCGGCAACAAACCAAACTGACTTCCATGGGTATCACAGAATAGGACACGGCTCCAACGGAATCAGTGCAAATAACGCCCACACCGTCGGCGGAAACATTCATGTTTAATACCTGCAATTGTCGTCGCGGAATGTCATGTAGTAACTAGCCAGTCAACATTGTCATAGTATAGCTACCTTGCGTAAATCTCCCAGATGATTGACGGCGAGCGATTCGCATGGTTCATAAGTCAAAGTTTTCACATAGTGATCGGTACATGCACATAGAACCGGATCTATCCCTTAAAGACGAAGAATACTTACTACTTTCACATCGGGAGGTTACTGATTTCCAAGAAAAAAACTGGCAAAGGAATCATTGGAAAAATTTGAAGAGCCTGTGAACATTGTGGCGATATCCATATGTATTGGACAAGTATACCCATCAATACTTCCTCTAGCCAGTTCCTCAATCTTCATTTGGTCTCCTTTGGCTGTACACCGAAAGATTGAGTTTAGAAATGCTGACAGAAGGAGAGCCTAGTGAACCCTCAGCAACCAAAAAAAATAGGCTCAATCAATGCAGCGACTTCTCTGCTTGAATGTTGCACTAACAAAGGGCAGTTGAAAAAAAGACGACACTGGATATCACGGGAATTTACGACATTACAAACAAAATGAAGCGATTTAAATATACCCAATTAAAAGATGTCTTACGAGATGAAGGAGAAGCAAATTGGGCGCAGCGAATTCCCAAAGAGAATGCATCCGACATGGCGATTTGTACGAGTTCGTCCAGACACCAGAACCTTACAACTCGCTCTGCTCCGAAGGTGGCCACCATGCGTTGTGAAGGATGAAACGTCGCACCATGAGTCTAAACCGAACAAACAGGAGAAACTTTCTACCTCGGCAACTTGTATTCGTACACTTACAGGTGACGGGAACTGTTTGAGATATTCTCGCTTCCTGATGTCATAGAGCTGGAGCGTAGAATCCGTTCCAACTGTGAGAATGATATCATCAGGGCTCAACTGCAAAGAGGCTTTTAAGAAGATTGACACATGTTTGACTACTGAGGAATTACGTTTACTCGATGTAGTTTGCTTAAATACAAACACACAGCAACAGATTGGAAATGGATGTTTCTCTCAACTTCATTACTGTCCTTTCACGCCCACTACTCTTTCAAAAAAGAGAGTGGAGGTAGATCAGAGCTGCCGTCGCACGAATTTGCCTCATAATCAACATAGGGAGAAGACTGACCCTTGCTCACCATAGAAAAGGTAGTCTAGTTGACAACTGGAACAATGACTTCCGCAATAAGGAATACAAAGGGTACTATCTTTTAAGAAGTTGCCTTCCTATGTACATTTCTTAATAGTATAACTTATTCACATTAGAATTATTTCAGCAACAACATAGATTATGCGCACTACCACTTGCACCTAACCGAGCAGGGCAGCGAATTTTTCATTCGCATCCCTAATTCATCTTACGTGAGCGTAAAGAACTCTTCCAGCTCTCGTTATCGCAAGAAACTCCCATCGTATGTTGAAAGACCATATTTTGGTGATCAACTATGTTATGCATGGGCCACTGGTTTAAAAAAAAGTAAAGGAAATGTCTACTGAGAGTGTCTCTCAAATTAATTACCCCTACTCACCACATTTTTGCTTTTCATCCATCTTTAACTGCGAATTGCAACAACAGTTGGTACGTTGCGAATTAACTTCCAAGTACGGCTTTCTATGAACCTCGGCATAAG